TGTATCCAACAAAAAAAAAATAAAAACAATTAGTTAAAATATAATATGCTATATTATCATTTATGGAATACTAAGTGTATGAACTATTACATAATCAGACATATTCTTATTGTGAATATTGGCATTAATTACAATAAATAAACCCTTTGACTTTACGAAGGCCATTATAGACATTAAGATCTTGATTAGACTCGCAATGATTGATGTAATACTACCATAGAGTATATTTCTACAGACGCATCACATTATGGAGAAAAAAATAGAAATAGTCATACTGATTAACGTTCAGTGCTTCGTTTATTGTAATTATTTCCTGTTCACTTCTAGCAACCATGTTATTTTATTCTCTATAACGTCACCTATCAATACATTTTTATGAATTTATACTATAATTTTTCCTATTGTTCAAGATGGATAAACATTATTCTCTCTCCGAACCAAAGTAAGCCATAAATAAAATAAAATATTTATAACTCTAGGATAAAATGTGTATAAAAATTAAGTTATGAAGTCTAAGGAAAAAATTGACCTCAGACGTCGCTTTTGACGTAGGTTTTGAATTTCGTTATCCCCTGGCTTTGTATCGCAATGTCAACCATCACCGTGTTTCAGCAGAAATGATTTTTTTTTTGTATACTGCCTATCATTCTCTGAATAGTCCATGAAATATTTGGTGAAAGCGTCTATAATATGTATTGTTGTTGTTCCAGTGAATAAATTTGCCTAAACCGATATGATTTTTCTTCTGTATGGTCGAAATAATTTATATTTGTATTAAGACATCCATTATTATTTTTTTCTGTTTATATTTTTATGGTTTCAGAGTTATAGTCCGTGCTACAGACCCCTTTTTATCAAATCATTAACATCTTCCTAAAAATTCGTTAATAGCTTCATATCATCGTCAAATATTATATCAAAAATATTTCATATCACCTACAAATATTTTATTTACGAAAATTCTCGGAATTGGGACGTTTTCAATCTGGAGATCCTTAGACTTTGTCTATTTAATTAGCTACTAAAACTTGTAAATACACATTTGCTTTCGACTTGAATCGTAAGATAATTTGAGCACAAAGTGGCTTTCAAAAATATTGATCCGTTTGGCGTGACCAACACCACCAACAAGTCAAATTAGCGAGGTTGTTAAAAAATAAAAATAATAAATAAAAAAAGGAACTATGTAAAGGATGGAAAATGACAAAATCATTGTTAAAAAAGGGTACAAATTATAAAGGACTAAAAAATATATATATGTTAGTGCATTGACCGTTTATTAAGAAATAGTGCGAATGAATATACTTGTATCGATACAGGAATGTTAACACTTTTTCGATTCTATTTACCCTCTTTAACATTTTAGCAACCTTTAAATTTTAGCTGTGAATATTTTTAGTTAGTGTTTACATGTGGTTTTCAATTATGAAAATTAACCGTTTTTCTGTATAACGAGTTTTATTAAATACTAGCTGTATCCGACCACGCCTTGCTGTTGCTCATTCTGGTTAAGTAAAAAAAGAAATTGAAAAGAAATCAGATGTTTCTAATATACATATAAATAAAATAAAGATTTTGTCTGTACATTGAATAGAATGAACCCGTTTCAAGATATCTTTCCGTTTCATATATTACAGATACCAAACTCACTTAAATAAAAAAAAATTCTGTCTATATGTCCGCATTGTCCAACGAAATTTTGTCAGGGTTAAGCTCAGCTAATGGCAGAGTTTTGAAGTTTTGACATTATATTTAGGTTTGATGGACTTAAAACATAGGCTTGAAATGAAAACAAAAGTAGACCCAAAGTTATGAATTCTTGAGTAATTTGTTTTGAGATTCCGGTTACTTACTTCTTCGATTCTCATCCCAACTTACTATCCCGCCAGCCACATTTAAAAGTTGTACTATTTAGAAATGATGTGCTTTTTGAGTTATTCGCAAATATAGTTTTGAATCCATCGTAACTTTTTTTTCATACTCTTTTCGAGAAAGGATTTTATATACATAATTAAAAAGGCTTCAAGGAGAAGACTTCAGCCAAGTTTACTTAAAATCGTTACAACCGTTTAGGCGCTACAGTCTATAGCAACACAGGTTTTTCGTCCGCCTTTCCTAAACGAAAGACCGGAGGGTGATTAAATATATATAAAGACACTACTAAATACGATAGAAACGTTATGTCAATATTTCAAAGCTATTGGTGAAGAAGTTCAACAGATTAGCGGTATTGAACTAACGAACATTTGCGTTTTTATTAATAAACATTATTCAGAATCAATAGGTTTTGTATCATGTGTCTATTGTTTTTTTTTTATCCCTATAAACGTCTATACTGATTTATACATTTTGTGTCAATATTACGTTAATGATATGCTCGTATCTGTGGAGCATGATTGGATGCAATCATCAAGGAATGCTGAATCATTGTTTTAGTTTTTCACGGTTTTGAATTTCAGGTTTCCCCGGTCTTCAACCGAATCCATTACATCCAAGGTTTATACGGAGCGTTTAACCTCGAATTAAAGAATCCTTGGGATCACGTCAATTATTGAAGCACGTCAATTGCAATAATTATAAGTGTCAATGGAGGGAAATTTGAGGGATAATTAAGTCGTAAGTTTATAACAAGGACTGCTATGTTCTAGCTCGTGTCTGAGGTTGTTGTTGATGTCTGGTGTGAGGTTATCAGTATTGCAATTCTATATTTTTTTCCCCTCAGAAACTTTTTTTTTGTGCCTTATCCAAAAGTAAAATTCAATGAACTTTTAAGTATACACTTATTTATGTAATTGTGTTTTAAGTATACCACTACGAGTGAAAGCCACTTTAATTTAAATATATATTCTTCTGGTTAGAAATTTTACGTTCACTACATCGTTAAGTGACCTCAAATACCACACAACATAAAACTTACTTTTGCTTATCAACATTTAATAGTGTTTAGTATATTTTACTACCAGTGACTATAAATGGTTATGAGCATTACTCTCTAATGCTAGTAATGTTTGGTACTCCTTTAAGATAATTCTTAACACCAATGTCATTTGTTTTTTATAAATGTTCTTTTATTACAAAACTAATATATATTTATAATTGATATGTGATACTCCCTTGCAAAATAAATTTTTATATTACATACAGTTTATTGTATATAAATAAATTTATTTATTGTTAAAAAAATAAACAGTTGAAAAAACGATATATGCCTATTTATATTTATTCCTACTATATTTTGGCACTTCCAGGGTCTCTCTTTAAACCCACACAAATTTTTTAGTTTTTTCTATATTGTTTTATTTATTATTTTTGATGTTTTCCATTTGCTGTCCATAACAAGAGAGTTAAAAAAAAAAAACAAGTTGGGCTTGGTGCTGATGTCGGTGTTAGTTAAGTTAGAAAATTGTGTTTCAGTATTGCAATTCTATTTTTTTCCCTCAGATTTTTTTTTTTTTTTGCCTTATATCTAAAACTAAAATTTAATAAACTTTTAAGTATACAATAAACTTTTAAGTTATAGTTTATGAAATGAATGCACCTTCAGATTAATCTCTCAGATTTTAACATCTGTGGACAGTCATTGTTAAAACCTAGAAAATTGGTTAAAAAGAAGGCACAAAATAAATTTAGTTAAAGTCCCGACTTCTTAAATTAACGAACAAACAAACACACCATTTATTCGTTTCTCCTTAAATCTTTGTAGTTTGATTTTTTTTCTTCTTCTTACCCACACATAGAAGTAGTGAGGAAGTTAAACAGAGCTAGATGATTGGTGTTTTTATATCTTATTTTTTTGGAGTGAATATGAGTTTGAAAAAAAGATATTTGAATGGAAAAAGGCTCATAAAAATATTATATATTATTAATTTTTTTTTTATTTAGGAGAACAATTTATGATGGTTCATACGTTTTGGGTAATTTATTCGTGTATAACGATACTTTTAGACGCAGTCTTTCGATTTTGATTGGTGGAGGAGGCGATGGACTAAAAAAGAAAAACAAAAAATCGAGAATTTTCATTTTGTGTAAAAATTCAATTTAATTATTGTGAAACGAACCAATATAATATTTAATATTAATTTGTTTATATTTTTGTATAGCTGTAAGGATTTTTATTTATTCTCTTTATTTTACTTATATATGTACTTGAAAATATATTTAAAATAAAATAAATTTAAATATTTAACATATTTGTTTAGTTTAAACCCTGAGTAGAGGCGTGACAGCCTTCATAATATTGGTAATTTGTAGAACTTTTTTTGCTAAAAATAAAAAATGTAAAAATACCTTTGATTTCTTAGCGTGTACAACCTCAAATAAAAATACGTTTTGGAATAGTTTGTTGCGGAAAATGTTATAAGAATATCACGTACAAATTGAGGGATGATTGAGTAATAAAATCTTAGGGTATTTTTTTATATATTATTATCTTTGAATATAAATTATAATTTAAATAAAGGTAACATTTAGTTTTTTAATAATAGAAAGTTGCATACCTTATACTAGGCTCTTGCCTATCCAGCTAGTCGTATTTTCTTAATAGATTTTAGTCTACAAATTTTATTATTTATTTAGCTTATTTGTTATTGATTTTATTTTTTTTAAACTCAAATTATTAGGAGGAATCGCGGAACAATATCCTCGCCCCGTCTACAGTTTTATTGGGGGGGGGGGGGAGATCGCCTCCTTCGCCCCACCGAAGTCTGTGCCTATGCTTTTATTATTAATTGATGATACCAATAGCTTCTCAGAAAGTTAATTATTTCTGCCTGTTAGATTTACTATTTACTTCTTTCCTAGAAATTTTCTTTTGATAGGCGACCTTTTCTCTTAGATTTATTCGTAGAAGTCGGATGAGGTGCTCAGTATTAGTTTTTCCCCAGCTATAAGGGTCAAGTGATCTCTCTTGGATCCTTTGAGCGCCGTTCAAAGGTTAACAATCCTTGCAGGCCGGAGCAAGGTTCTCTACTCAGCTCCTTCGTTGTACCTCCAGCCGAGGAATGCTAACGTAAGAAACCCGCGAAAGTTTTGGCCATTGCTATTTGTATCTCTTAGAGGCGGATAACCATCCGTAGTGAGAGCTGGCGGAATTCGCGAGCTCCACCCTCAAACCCACTTCTTCCCGAACCCTCTCTGGAAACGATTTCTCGGCTCTCAAATATTAGATTAGCTCTCCAGATGATGGAGTTGAGAACCACTACATTTAATGCCTAATGTAATAAAATTATACCTCATAGTTCTTTCGTCAGGTTAAATCAGTCGCATAAAATTCCTAACAAGCTGAACACGGCTTCTCGTATTTACGATTTTCTTATACATTTAATGTCGTAATTGCGCGATATTGTTTATGGATCTATTAACATTTATTGTCTTATGCAGATTTCTCTTCTGCTCCCAATACGAGTAGATCTCAATTAATTGTGAAATCGAATCAGACAGTTGTTGATCTTTTTATAGGATCATTGGATCTCTTGATTGGAAAATTAATTATTCGAAACTTTCCAGTTATAGAGAATCCGTAGCCAGTGCTGTGGTATTTCTAAGGTCGGTTTCTTTTCGAATGTCTCAGAGCAAGAGTTTTCGAACTCCAAATGAAGTCGGTCAATGTTTATTTTTATTACATCATATAATTTATTGTATAAGAAAAACTTGTGAAGTAATAATTGCATCAATTAAGAAGTGTAATAACTGAAAAACGATAAAGTTACTGAGATTTTTAACTGTAATTAATGTTGTGAATTCGTCTGATCGAATGCTAGTGGAGAAGTCAGCATGGCTCTTATGCTAAAAAGTTTGATTTAGAGGTTCATTTAGATTGGGAAGGAAAGTTGGTTAAGAGACTAATGCGTTTTTGAGGTATAGGCCGTTTTAAACGGTCATGTTCCTTGAACAAAGCTTTGTCCTAGAAGTTGTAGTAGAGTAGTTTGATTTTCAATCAATAGGTAAGGTCACTACAGACTTTATAGACCCTGTTACACGATTAAGTTTCTTGAAAAAAGTCGGGATTGGAGTTGAAATATTTTTCCTAGTGACATATCAGGAAAATAATCATACCTTACGACTTACTTAGAGTGCTTTTTGTTATTATTGTTGAAAAATTGAAGAATGAATTTTCATTTCCATTAATTCAACTCCATGTATGGGGTTATAAATAAGAGAAAAACTGATTTTAACCGGTTTAAAAGATAGTTAGCAGCTTCTTTTAGATACTTTCTCCTCTTTTCATTGGATTAATAAAATGTTATCAATTATTTCAGTGAATTTCCTCTAATTTGGCTTCAATTAATTTAGATAAGGAATAATTTTAGTTATTCCTAATTTTAGGTCGAAACGAATATCTGCTATATAAGATAATGTATAAATTATAATAATAGTTTTTATTTTCAAATTAAATGTTATGTATTATACTATTATCCCATTTTGCTCATTCTAGAACTCATAAATAATAAGAAATATTTAAAGAAGTGAATTTCTTACCGCTTATCAACCGATTTTAAAAACTTATGGAATTGATCGTACTCAACATTTTTACTGTAAAAAAAAAACAAAAAAAAAAAAGCAAATGGTGGTATATTAATAATATAGGAATGCTATTATTGTGTCAACAATTTCCAACATGTTGGATCAGTTTGGTTTCGCTAGCTAACAGAACCCTTTACACGGTTACGTTTTTCAAGCAAAATGGGTTCGTCCCAGAAATATGTACAGAATCTTAACTGTGCAAACGGATTTCATGATTGTATACACGTGATGAACTGTTAGTAATAAATTTGAAGTTTATAGATGCGTTTTTTTGCATAGAAAGTATCAAAGTATAGGCAGAAAGTCAGTTGAACATATTCATCAATATCTTGGGTAATCTATTTTTTAATGAGAAATAATATTGCTTATTGAGTAACTGTTTCCACCTTAGTCCTAATAATGTTACGTTTTTTTTTTTTTCTTATCTTACCATAATTTTGTAATGAAAATCGTTATATAATCAACTAATTTTCTTTTAAATTTATTTCATCTTAAGCTTTTTTTATTTCTTTAACTTGATCTTCAATTTTTTATCGACACTAAACTCGGTATCCCTTTTATTTCTTAGTTTACAATTTAGCTCTTCATCATCAATTCGCAATTCAAATATCATTCGGATGAGAAGATAAGTAATGGCGATCCTGACCGAACTGGTGGGCGGACTGGTTACGCTATATGTTTTTCGAAAGATCTAGAAATCCTCGAGGAAGAAGAAATGTTGTACCGCTATCCCGGAGACACGAGGCTACCCAGAAGGATGTGAGTGATTGGTCGAGACGAGATAGAAGTCAGTCGGAAATGTGTCTTCACGATCGTTCTACTTGGGGTGGTCACCGAGGGCACATCCTCTTTACTACCGTTGAAGTCTCCCATCGCTTTCTTTGGCCGTTAGAATATTGCCATATTTTTTGCTTTAAACTATCGATTTGGGGTGTGCTTTATGTTTTCTTATCTTGTTTCTTTTCTCATGATGCCGGAATCGATTGTTAGTTGTTTATTATTGTTGGATAGACTTTTCTTGTATTTGAATATACGAACAACATGCATCCTGACATACTTTTTTTGTTGAATATTGTATCTGTGTAAGTATTTGTTTTTTCATGGATTGGAATTAGGATATTTTTCCTGACTTGTTTTGTAGTTGTGTATAGAATAATTCGTGTAGTTTATTGGTATAAGACACTAAGGTCTTTCCAGGCTTCTTGGATTGAACAGCTCTGATGAAGACCTGAACTTCGAGCTGAAACATCGGCCAATTTAAAAATAAATAAAATTTTTTTTACTGTTTTTTAATTTGACTAATCATCCCAACCATTCTTCCCTTCAATTATTTTATGCAGTCAACCATCAACTCACTATTTTAGGATTACTTTTCAGCCTCTTTTCGCTTTTGGAAATAAAATAAAAAAAAATGTTTTTCCGTAGAAATCATTCAAACGTTAGCGAGTCCGACAAGTTGAATTCTTGAAATTACATTGTGTGATATTAATCTTAGCTTAATTAAAGCCAAAATAATTTTGGACGTTTACGAATAAGATTTAAGGTAATTTAAAATCAGCCATCCATCGCCAAATTAAACTTTTCTATCTACTCATTAAAAGTTATTAGTTTTTTTTTTATTGAGCTCTCCTTGATTATAAAGTAATTTAGGGACATTTAAATACATTTTTACACTGAGAAGTAATTTAGTAACATTTAAATATAAGACAGTTTTTACATGACAATGCAAATGCAAAACTTCCTTGTTCGTTCCTTAAAATATAATAATAAAACATAAATATGTATTTTTTGGATCATACATTACATTCTTACACTATGACGTTTTATTGTAAATAAATTATGAATAATTGTTACGTGAATTATGATAGTATCGTATCAATGACAAATGAGTAAGAAAAGTGAAAGGAATCCAAGGCAGCTTTAAAAAACCCAATTGGATCAGCTTGGTGTAGCTGGTGGTATGGTTAACCCCTTCCCACCTGGCTCGTGCTTCCATCACACGTTTGTGTTAATTTATTCTCTTGTTGTACGAATTCAGAGCTTATACGAATCAGAGTGCGTCCTATGAATGCATAACTAATTTTTCGTTGACCCCCTACGCTCCTCCTCCTTCCCCCTTCCCAAAAAAAGATTTTCAACAGACCCATAAATGTTTTGTGATTTTTCGAAAAAAATATTCTGTTCTGAAAACATCCACTAGTACTATTTTTATGGCTACCAGCTTAATTTACATTTATTACTAATAAATTCCGAAATTAACTTAATGCCTACTTGTCTCCTCATCGTAATACTGACATATAATATTAATTAGTAATAAATATTTTTATAATTGCGGTGAAAGGAAACATAAGGAGTCGAAGAAATATGTGGTATTTAAAATAGTATGTATAGGATTCCAGTTACTCTATAAGAATTGTAAACGATAAAAGGATAATCAGAAAAGTTGCGTAAGATGGCGGAGTTTTACAAATCTGTAAGTTGCCTTGCCTTGTTGTATTTTTAGAGTGGGCAGAGAAACCCCAAGAGAATCTATCAACAGATAATTTATGATGTGTTTACTCGTTTATCCACATTACAAAAACACCAGAAATACTAAAAAGTGAAAACCGAAAACACATGAAATGAGCGTTTCCATGTCTATATATATATATATATATATATCCAGAGAACAATATATTGTGCAAGTTGGGAATCGCACTTGTCCTAACCAATTATTATTTAAAAAAGAAAAAAAAAATGAATAAAAAGAAAACTAAAAAAGTCGTAAAACCCGACAAAATATATGGAAGAAGATACATTTAAATCAGACCATTAAATTCAATATCTCTCGAGCAACAAGAGCAGTAAAGAAGTGTGTAGAAAAGTGTGATCAATATGTAAATTTATTAGTTATCAACCTTTTAATGATGACTAATAAATGCCTAAGTGAATTTAATTCCTAATTGCTTTCTTATCCTAATTCTGATAGATGGTAGATTGAAAAAAATTAAAAGAAAATGGTTGTAGTCGTAGAATTCATCAAATAAAATGGTGGATGAAGAAGATTCATTTAAATCATATCCGGAATTAAATTCAACATCTCTCAAGTTAAACGAACTGTGAAGAAAGTTATAAAAACGGCACTAGGCTAGGGCTAGCCTAAATTTCCTTTGATTTCTCTTGAAAACCGACAGGAGACGTATCGGTGACAAACCAATTATCATAAATGCTATCCTAGAGGACAGGTCTCCAGACGTTTTGGTCCGCAGGCCACATTGAGGCCTCCACTAAGTTCCGCGAGCCACATCGAGAACTCCACCAAAGTCTCGCGGGTTATGCCTTGTGATAAAAAAAAATCTTGATCTATAAATGATATCTTCAGCTGTAAAATGAACTTTCATAATAAAAAAAAACCATAAAATAAATATTGTAGTAAGCTCGTCTGTTAATAATCTGCTAAATTTCATGCTCTTAAATAGTTTTTTAATTTTACCAGGTAATTAAGAAACTTTCGCGGGCCGAAGTTTGGAGACCCATGTCCTAGAAAAGCACTCCATTTATACGTTTGTGTTATCCAGTTTGTGAAATGTGCCTACGCAGTTTAATACTTTTTTTAAAAATATTCCAATCTTTCGACATTCCAGCAATGCTTTATCTTTTGATATTTAAGGTTTATTGTATTCTATTATATCCTGGTTTATAAGTACACATCTTTCGAACGTTCACCAATCGTTTCGTTTTCTGACAGTCATACATTGTAAGTTTATAGAGAAAATTCCGATTCCGGTACTATCCGTGTAATTGTGGGAACCGTCAACAATGGGTGGAATACAGCATGGCTGAGGACGGCCTACGTGCACATCTCCAGAGGTAAGAGGTGCCGCGCTAGGGTCAGGGACACCGTAAGAGACAATGGCCAATTTGTTCACGGGGGGATGTGTGTACTCCTTCACTGCCATCAGGTGACGCCACGTGCCTTCTCCAAGAGCTGTTGTTTGTTATTAAAGGCCTTCTTTGGTAGTACTTGGGAAGAAAAGGCGGGTTATCCAATAGGTCACTGCCTTGACTATTCCTGTCAAAGTGTGAAGGTCGTATGTTATAACATTAGGTGGGCACCAAACTTAGAATGACGCTCATGTTCACTTGCGGATGAGTTCAAAGGTATCTTTCCATGTTTTGGTTATTGGTTTATAGGGAATGATCTTAGAAGTATGTACCATTGTAACCGATGAACAGTTTTGGAGTGAATACGCGTTACTTAATTTCATGGGCGATAAATAATCAGCACTGAAGATATTCATGTCATTCAAGTACTTGAATACCTTCAGTGCTCGAAACACGCCCTGATGATGATCCGCTTGTTTGGATTGAAACCTCGGCACCAATAAAAACGTTATAATGACTGCGTCCTGAATATTTATCTCCCATGATATGTAGAACAGTAGACTAACTTACTTCAGTAATAATGAATTTCTACAATATTTCCTGTGGTTGCTCCTAAATAAAATAAAATGGTCACAATTATAAGTAACAAATTTCTCAAAAATTGACGAATGGTTGGTAGCATTTTAACACTTTGAAAGAAACTCACAATGAATTAAAGATTAATTATCCTTTAAATTAATTTGGTGCATGTACAGAAAAAAATAACTTTCAATAAAATTTGAATAATAAAGAATTTATATAAGATTGAGATGTAACTTTTTAAATAATAAATAAAAAGGTTAATTTTAACCACAAACTTCAAATAACACTATGTGGTAAGTATAATGGTAACAGTGGTTTGCCCTGAGTCCACTATACAGTGACGTATATTGCTGCCAAACACGATGCCACATCAAAATATCTTTTAGCCATATTTTATGAAAACTAATAATTTTAAACTAAATATTTCAATTCAAACACGACAAGGTGAAAGATGTTTCTTAGATGGAATTTTCAGAGCTAGAAACACTATTAAAAACTAAAATGTATAAGATATCCAACAGTATGAGCTAGACACTGGTTGGGTATGACGGAGCCCCCCTCCCGTGACATAGCTCGGCCTAGTGTATTTAGGAAATTATTTTCATTATAATACATGGAAAAACAAAACATACAAGTTTTTCAATAATTTAATGTAGTCAATTTTACTGAACACATGGTTACTTTTAGGTTGTTGTTGTTTAGGGCTTAGAGGCTTAAAATCCTGAAGTCATCAACGCCTATCTATTCTTTGTTTCTATTACCTCAATACCAAATTATTTTTTTGAAAAAAAAATAAATGATTACTTTTAGGTGAAAGAATATAAAATCGTTGTTTTTTTGTTGTTTTTTTACACACACAACCTGACGTGAATCTCAACTTTTCCCAAAAGAACTCAACTTAATATGAAATTAAATTAATATTAAAGCTTACTAAAAGAGGTTGTTTTTTTAAAAGTGGGCTATCTGTCGTAAATTTGGTGAGTGATCAAAAATCATGAGTAATTAATCGTTGTTTTTTTTTTTTTTTTATAAAGTACTTAGTTTAACACAGCAGCTCAAAAGTCCACTTTAAATGTTTTTAACAATGCTAAACTATGTTTTCATTTGAAGTAAATTTTGTCTCGTCCTTATTAAAACAATTTTTAATCACTTCCTATTAAAAATAAAAAAAACGCGATTTACTTAAAGAAACACATAACTTAAATTTTCCATTTTTCTACCTAAAATTCAACCATTGTTTATATATACTTTTTTGTAGCTCTCTGCTATCATTCCTATAAATATTTCCTTCTACGTACGGGATATCCCGTAAAACTAGTTTGACTGAATCATAAATAGTAGACATTGCATGTCTGTGATATCACGTAACTGTTAGCTACTAAAATTACTATTTTAAAATCACTGAACTCTCTGATGCATTTATCGACAGCTTTTGAATGAATCAAATAAAAAATTATTCAATTCTCTTAAAATTATTATTTATATTTTGGTTTTCCATTTAATTTACCACTTTCTTTGTAACGCATCAAGCAAATGTGTTGGCGTTTATTCTATATTCTTGATCTAAAAGACCTTTTTTTAATTTTATTATTTAAATGATATTTACAACTGTTTAAAAAAAATGCATCTAGTAAATTCGCACATGGATTTAATGACATAAAACACATGTTGAGAAACTATCCATAGGTAGCACTCTCATAAAAAGACCTATTTAAAAATTAAAATGTATGGTTCTTCTTTGTTGGGTACTAGCGTTTTTATAGTGAAGTTTTACATATAGGTAAGCTATGACGTAAACCTTATTGATTAAAGTAAAGCTTATGCCAGGAGTTTTATTTCCTATAATAAAATCGAAAGTGCTTATTTGGCAAACATTCTCTGGAACCGAAAGTTTATGTCTACTTAAAATTCAGAAGCATGTTTATGCCTTAGAGAAACGATATTCGCACAACCACATGCACGAACCCGTACCAATATGCTCATATATATAAATGTGATTCTTAACTCTTTAGTGGCTTGAGAACATTGTTTATTTCCTACTTTCACGTGTTTGTTTTCTCATGTTTATGCAGTGCCTTGTTTATCTAAAATACTTGAAAACGTCGCCTTTGTTTTATAATTTGATATCTAAAAACAAACGAAGGAATATTGAATGCGTTATAAATCAGATAATGTAATTTATATTTGCGTAGGGGCTCAGGTAGGAAAAGTCTAATAAAACGATATTTAGACTAAACATAAAAAATATAATAAAATAAATAAAATGCTTCTCCTGGACCAGAATTAGATAGGGGGGGGCGAAGGGGGATAATTTCAAGATTATTTTTAGATTGTTTAAAAATTTTTACTGTATTTTAAACAATAAAATGCATTAATATAAAATTGTTGACTTTTATTGGAGGAGGGAAGGATATGAAGCAAGGGTAACTACCCCTCTCTAAAAAAAAAACAAAAAAAAACCTAGCTCTGCTTTATAATGACATAAGAATTCTTTTTTGGTGCAATTAAAGGATCCCTGAATTTGAGCCATACAAGTTTAAACGGTGCAAAATCGTCAAACAAATCGTCCCATACCTATTAGCGTTCATCCCAAAATCGTAATCCTGTTTGCTGTGTGAATATTGTAATTTTTGGATTTTACTTTTCTTTTTTTTTCAATTTGAATTATTTCTTTGGTTCAAAGTTTTTACTTACTGCTAATACAATAATTTGTACTCTATATCTGATTAAGATCCTTAAAACCCGACATGATTAATAGTTGGTTAGCGGTAAGCTTGTTATAATTTTTTTTTTAAGTCGATTTCGAATTAATAAAAACGTTATAACCGCCTCTATTTAGGGTGCGTTGTGAAGAAAACAATGCTATGATCCTGCCGTTTTCCCTCCTTTCATTTTTTGTCAAAAATTTTTCTCCGATGAGGAAACCGTTCAAGCGGAACGTTTAGACCGTTGAATGGGAAAAGGCTTTCAAAAATTTTCCCGCTCCCGACGACGAGGATCCGTTCGAGGATTCTAAAAAGCCAAAGGGCCTGAAGAAGCGAGGGGGAGTTTAGCAGAGGAAGGATGTAGAAAGTTGTCAGGGTCCGCTTAGCCGAAGACAATGAAAGGGAAGCAGGGATTGGATGGAGCATTGTTAATTTGTTACATGGCCCCTGATTGGGTAATGAGTTCAGTCATTACCTCCCATAGGTCACATTATGCAATGCTTTCTTATAGGATTAACATCCTCATAAAGGTCGCGTAATTACGATAATTGTTATAATTGTCAGTAGTGTATATTGCACACTACCTACTGTGTACTAACCCAATCCATTTCGCGTGTCACTTTGATGACAACGTAACAGCGGGCCATATAATGTTAAACTTGCTTTTAAAAACACAAATAAAGTGTATAACATCCTTGTTATACTGTGATTTAATATAATTAAATTTTGGACATTACAGAGATATTTGCCTATCTTTAATTAATTTTTTTTCTCGATTCATTCAATATCATTTGGTGTTCAATATCTTAAATATCAAACTAAAAAAAAAAAACTTAGAACTTCTTTTATTTATTTAATATTTTTTTATACCTACGACATGAATTACAAGTTTAAGAAGAAATATAAAAATCTAGGTAAATTAGTCTAGATGTGGCAGTTTTTCTTGGCGACTTCAATGCAAATAGAGTCAATGGCTCTTGTTGATTTTTTTACGATTCTAAATAAAACGTGTGGATTGTTCATTGAGCCTTCCATGGATGATTTTTTACTTTAATACTTACATAATTGGTAATTGGTTGACTGTCGTGGATAATGAAGAGAAGAATAGTTGGGGTGGTAGTCAAAAAGGTCAGTCAAAAGTTTTTCTATCTTCTATTTCAGCTTCTCAATTCTTCTCCTCCTTCCTTCATTCTTTTCTCTGTTTTTAACTCTTATTATATTATACATTGTCTGTACATGTTATAGTCTATACAATATCTCAATTTTCTATCTAACTACTTCCATTCTCCCTGTTTTAATTTTACTATTTATGTTCATTTCTCATATAACTTCATATTACGTTCTATGTTTTACATTTATTCTAAGTTCCCATTGTAACACTTTTGGACAAGCACCCTTTTTTTGGAATTATGCTCTACTCCATCATTCCATACTTTTGTAACCTGTTTTTATTATTAATCTCTTAGTTCTGTTATTATTTATCTCTTAGTTTGTAACGGTATTTTTTATTATTATCTCTTAGTTCTTAGTCCATATTCTAACAATTTCCATTTTACTTTATATTTATCATTTATTTTTCAAATTTTTTTTATTTTATTTTTTTATTTTTTATTATCTTTTTACCATCATTACTTATGTTTCTCATACTTGTTATCTGGTTATTTTTCTTAGCCCTGATGAAGGCCTGAACCTTCAGGTCGAAACGATCGGCATATGTAAAAAAAATAAATATTATCATTTATTTTTTGCCTTCCTTTTTGACTGACCACCCCAACTATTCTTCTCTTCTTTAATACTTACAATCGATTGTCTTGACTCTGTGCAAAAGCAGGTACGGAACCTGATTAATATTATCTGAACGTGGTTCATGACAATAACACTTGAATAATCTCTTGAATTGTTTATTTTTAGTATTCTTATTTTTATTTCAGTAATTTTGGATAAAGTGTTACATTGTT